CAATTTGCTTATCATGCCATGCTTTGGTTCGTTCTTTGTAAATTACAATATTTTCATAAGCATCGTGACAGAGTTCATTTAATTTGTGAATATCTAATATCCGTTTGTTATGAGCTATCAAATAATCCATATCCAGGGTCTTTATAGCCCAATAGGCTTTGTGTTCTAATTCAAATGGTAGGTGAAAAGATTTCTCGTAGACTAACTTAAAGGGGGTTTGTATCTATATGGGTCTTATAGGTAGTCCTATAAACCCACAATGCATCTTGTAGTCTAGAGGACCAATTTTTTCTAGAAATAGAAACAATCTTCTCTTGAATCTGTTTTATTTCTTTATTTGACACTTCTACCTGGCCACTGATTTGTAGATGATAGGGTGTTGCTACTCTATGTTTTATGCTATACTTGTTTAAGAGATTCTCGAAAATTCTTGAAATAGAATGGGATCCGCCATTGCTTATAACGAGGTGAGGGACTCCGAATTTGGTTGCGATGACCATTTTATCCCTTTTCTTTGTGGGTTTTCTCTATATTTTTCCGTTCCTTTAAAACAAATAAAGTTATATGACGACTTTATTGTTTTAGATTTTTCGAGTTGCTTCAACCATCTACAATCTTCATGAGAGATTTATCTCTAGGGGATTCTTCCTTGTCTCTTTTGCCCTCTTTCACATACTCGGTCAGCCTTGATTTTTGTATTTTACTTCCATAAAATCTAGACGCATAATGGATGCTTCGACTTTCTACTTAGGAAGAACGTTCCTACCCTGGTCTTCTGAGAGACTTTGAAGGGAACTTTGGTGTTTTTACTTGAATTTAGGAGCTTCGTTCTTCTTTGTCCTATTCGGCTCCTATATTGAAAAAAAATAAGATAGTTATTTAGAATTTTAGAAGAAAAATATAATTGGGTGATTTGAGACGTGTTTCAAAAATTTACATGTAGTAATTATAGAAATGAATCTGTGTTGTCTAGTCTAACCTAGTAAAAGAAAAAATAGAGCTTTTGAAAAGCAATGACATATGTTTGGCCCTGAATGCACGTTGAAAACCGCTTATTTTCCGGACAAGTTGACGTCTCCACTCACCTACCACTCTTACACACTTATTCACTTTTTCCCTTCAAAAACTTAAAACTAACCAAGGCATATAATAATAATAATAAGAGAAATTGAAAAAAAAAAAAAAAAAAAAAGAAAAGAGCGTTGAAATAATGAAATGATGAAGAATTAGGAGAAGTATGATATGGTTGAAAAATATAGAATTCAGTTGTTGTGTATTATTTAAATTTAAATTTAAATGTAATATAGCATTTATTTCCAACAAGTCACGACTCGGAAACCTCCAAACACAATCAATTCTTCAACCGATTCATCTTCCTTCCTCCATTTTTCTATTTTTCTGAGAACCAAAAATGGGTAATCATTTTATCTGTATGTCAAAAAAAGATTCCAAAGAGGTTGGATCAAGAAGCAAGAGACTCGGTAGATCGCAGAGGAAGCTTGTTACCGAAGAAGATTTGCATCTTCAAGCATTATCCATGGCACTTCAGCAGCATCACTTGTCTCAGAGGTTTGAAGGCTCTATGTCTAGAAGAATTGGTTCAACTAGCTCTAGAAGACGCACTTTACCTGATTCTCTACAACTCAACAACAACAACAACAAACAGGTTCTGAATTCTCATACACTTTTTTATTTCTAAACTTTTTATTTTTCAATCATTTCATCACTTACTCTAAGTGGGTTATCACCATTTGTTTAAGATCTAACATGTGTCTGAAAAGGCTTCTTTAAAAACAAATCAAGGGTTACTTTTTTTATTTTTTTATATGCTGAAAAAGGTTAAGTGGATCAAATTAGTTTATGATTATTTGCATGTATTTTCTTCTACTTTTTACAATGCTACATACATACCCCACTTCCCTCACTTGTGATTGTTGACTCCACTAAATACTCATGTATTTTTACCCTACTTTTCTGTTTTTTTCTTAGGCATTCTAGGGAACATGTTTTTTCTTATTCCTTTTTACTACTAGACTCTATCTATACTCAATTATCTAAGGGGACACACAATTAGGGATGTTTCATGTCTAGTTCTCTTCAACTCAAGCACCATTTTTTCTTATACACTTGGATTCTTTGTGATTTTATCTAAATTGAGTGTGTCTTTGGATTCACTTTTGGGAGATTTAAAGCCTGGTTTTGAATACTTAAAATTGATTACACTATGTCTTAACATTTAAGAGTCCCACATAACAAAATATATGACCATGTTAATAAGCAATCCTCACCATGCCATCCGGTTTTGTAAGATTGAGCTAGGCCCAACCACATTTCTCAACAATATGTTTCGGGTTTAGGGTTAGAACTGATTCGTCCTACATCGGGTAATATATGACTTGAACATATACTTATAAGTTGGGTAATCTTCACCCTACAAGCCCGTTTTGTAGAATTGAGTTAGACCCAACCACATTTCTCAATGTTATGTTTGGGGTCTATGATTAGAATTAATGAGTCTCACATCGAATAATATATGACCTGAACACGTGCTCACAAGTTGGGCGATCCTCACCCTACAATTTGGTTTTGTAGGATTGAATTAGGTTCAACCACATTTCTCGACGGTGTCTTTGGGGTTTGTACACATGATTTTTATTATCAAATTTGTTCTTCTGTTCTTCAACTCACTTTTACGTGAACATACTCTAACATAAATCATTTTATGTGAAGCTTAACATTTTAACTAAAATCAATTTTACTAAATTATTCCAATCTTAATCAATTTTTGACACTGTAGAACCAAACACATGCTAGCTTTTTTCTTCTTTTGAGGAGCTCTTTGAAATGTTGTTTGAGTTTATGCATCATTTTATTGGTAGCTGGCTGCAAATGTTTGCTTGGACCTAGAAAGAAAATGATTTGACTTTGATTGTTCAATATATATATGCTCTTCACAGTCTTGTGTTTGCACAATAGATTCTTAACAAACTTTGTTAGCTACGAGTCAGAAATTATTTATAAATTATAGAGTATAATAGTACTGTTTTAATCTTTTCGATTTTGCATTATTAACCTGCTGCTATGTTCTGTCCAGGATCCAGAACTTCTGGTGAACATTAAAACAAAGAAGTTTGTATTAATCCATGGAGAAGGTTTCGGAGCGTGGTGTTGGTACAAGACTGTTGCGCTTTTAGAAGAAGTAGGATTGCAGCCTGTTGCCTTAGATCTTACAGGATCTGGAATTGATCTCACAGACAGCAACAATGTCACTACATTGGCAGAATATTCAAAACCTTTAACTGTTTATCTTGAAAACCTTCCTGAGGACGAAAAGGTTCAGATGTGTGACATTGAAGTTGTAATTAATGCAGCTATTGTCCTGCATTTTGTTATGTAATTATTACATGAAAATTGAAATTTTGCAGGTTGTTCTTGTTGGTCATAGCATTGGCGGTGCTTGCATTTCATATGCATTGGAACATTATCCACACAAGATCTCAAAAGCGATTTTTCTCTGTGCTACAATGGTGACCAATGGTCAAAGACCGTTTGATGTTTTCGCTGATCAGGTATCTAGTACTTTCATTTACTTATTGGCTGTTCAACCTCAACTAATTGGGGGGTAATTTCTTCATCTATCATTTGTTATTTGTTTCTCTCTATTTTCGTGTGCAATATTCTAAAGTGACATATTTTGAGACGGATGGAGTATAACAAATAATCTATAATGCAGCTAGGATCAGCTGAACAGTTTATGCAAGAATCGAAGTTTCTGATCCATGGTAATGGTAAAGAAAAGCCTCCAACAGGATTTATGTTTGAGAAAGAGCAGATGAAAGGCTTGTATTTTAATCAATCCCCAGCAAAGGTATGTAGGACTTGAGTCTATTTCTAACTTTTTTCTTTCTAGATTTTAGCTGGTTATGCTTGAGACCTGGTTATACACAACACGATTTCTAATTGTGTAGCAGTGTCGTTGACGGCGGAGAGCCAAAATCCTGCCATACCGCCTGCTTTGCGGCACAGTTATAGTGGATTATGGCAGAAAAACCTGCAATGTCGGTCGATATTTATCATTGTAGGATAAAACCTGAAAATTCTTGTTGCACTGTTAGTTTCATATTTGTTTGCATTTTTTCTTAGTTTCTGTCACTTGTTCTTTAACAATCTTCCAATGTCTTTGGATGTAATATAAACCAGTGGATAGTATTTCTTCCAGCCACATTTTATGGATTCTAATTATACAAGTATGCGGTGTGTTGCAGGACGTTGCTTTAGCCATGGTTTCGATGAGACAAAGTCCTATTGGTCCAATCATGGAGAAGCTGTGTTTATCTCCTGACAAATACGGTACTGCCCGCCGTTTTTACATTCAAACATTGGATGACCGTGCTCTTTCACCAGATGTCCAAGAGAAGCTTGTGGGGGAAAATCCACCTGAAGGAGTTTTCAAAATCAAAGGCAGTGATCATTGTCCATTCTTCTCCAAGCCACAATCTCTTCACAAGATTTTAGTGGAAATAGCTCAAATTCAGTAGCTAGCTTAATGATCAACAATACATGATTTGTTACTTTTTCTATCTCACCAAATTGAAGAAAGAATAGAGAGCTCATATGGCCCAATTGGGAGATGTATTTTATTATCATGAAATATAATAGAGAAGGAGTATGATTTTATTTGAGACAATGTAGAATTCAACTAGTGAAAGACTACTACTGTAAACTTGTATTTGATTTTTGGTTCATACATATAGTAATTAGTAATAGTAATATTAACTTTTGTATTTTGAGAAATTTGTTGACTCATGTTCCCAAAATATAATTTTGGTTAAATCTGTCTAGATAATCTGTTGAAATTTCTCAAAATACATTAATGCAATCAAGCTGCTGGTAGGTTGTTTGTATTTGTGAGGGTGACAACTCCATCTATTGTTTCACATTTCTATTATACTGCTTTCCTTTTGATTCATCTCTCAATGAACTCATTTCTTTCCATTTCCATGCGTTTTCTTTGCGTGTCTTGTTCTCCAAACTCAGATTCACAGTCTCTCTCGTCACCTCAATCTAACTCCGTCTTTCAATTTGATTTCAACAGCTCTGGCACCGCGGTAATCAAGTCGCTTCCAGTTCTGACTCAAGATGAGACAAAAATATGATGCAACTCAAAGTTAGGAGAGTTGTTGAACATGCTGTGCCACATAAACGCGCGAGAGAGTACCATCAGTCCAGTTCTGAGTTGGAAACTCTTGAAAATCAAGCTTCACTGAAAAAACAACAATAAAGATTAGAGAGAACATTTACTTGTCTACTGTATAATAATTTTCTAAAAGAAATACTATTCACAAGCAACAATACTGAAAATATAAGAGTTAAAGTCCTCTCGTAAAGAAAGCTAAAAGAAGCAGTAACTTCAAGCCCAGCGCCGATGAAGCTCGTGGAGATTCTTCCGCCGCTGGGTTCATAGTTACTCAACATTTAAAGCAAGAGACATTTTGATTGAGAAAGATATAAACTCAAGTGTGTGCCTTTTTATATACACAAGAATCGTTAAGCACGAAGAAACGCGGAAGAAGATCACATGCATCATTAAATAAATTTTGTTTTTTAACCAACCACTTTTTTTTTCTTCAACAAGAGAATGTGGATACTATATACAAATCTCTTCTTTTGAAACCTTCCTTTTTATATACAGAACGAAGAAATGCGGAAGAAGATCACATGCATCATTAAATAAATTGTTTTTTAATCAACCACTTTTTTTTAAGAAGAGAATGTGGATAGTAGTATATACAAATCTCCTGCTATTTTGATTCATCCAATAGTGGGATATCATACAAACCTAAAAATAATAGTAGATAGAAAAGAATAGATTCAATGGTTAATAGTAGGGCATCATGAAAACATGAGAGGATCTAAACTAAGAAGAATAATGTAAGTTAGGGGTGTACATGAACCGGTTTGCATTGTTTTTTGCCAAATTCAATACCCGACTCCCTTAAGACACTTTGGTTTGGATGAGTTTTGTTAAATTGTAATTCAGTGTATCGAAATTATGTGTCGAAAATATTTGATTTGTTTTAAGATTTAAATAGATTTGATTTAGTAACAAAATACATATTTTGGGCTTTGGACTTAGGGTGTAAGCTCAGTTATAAATAGAGGGAGTAACTCCTATTTTTGTAAGCAAATCATTCACAGTATTTTGCAGTTGCAAAGTGAATAAGAAAGTTTTCACAGTTTGTGAGCAGAGAGAAACTCTGCAGAAATTATTTGTCTTGTCTTCTTTTCTTTGTTTGTCTCATAATTAAATTGTCATTGTGGTAGAAATTTATCATAGAATTAGGTGGATTTCCAACATCTGGTATCAGAGCTTTGTTTCGATTCGAGGGAAGTGTCAATCAAGAACGATTGAAGAATTCACGGTGACAAATTATGGGAATCACTACGTCAAAAATAAGTTTTAGCAGCACATAAAAGAAAGCGCTTTTGGAAAAAAGCGCTGCTGTAGGTTTTAAAAAAAAATTCGCTTAAAAAAGCGCTTTCAAAGGGTGCCTTAAGAAAGCGCTTTTCAAAAGCGCTTCTAAAGGTCACCCTTAGAAAGCGCTTTTTGGGAAGCGCTGCTAAAGCTGGCCTTTCAGAGGGTACCTTAAGAAAGCGCTTTTCAAAAGCGCTGCTAAAGGTCAGCCTTAGAAAGCACTTTTCCAAAGCGCTGCTAAAGCTGACCTTTAGAAAGCGCTTTTAAAAGCGCTGCTATAGGATATGTTACGAAAGCGCTTTTTAATGTAAAAACGCTGTTATAGATGACCTTTAGAAAGCGCTTTTAAAATCGCTTTCGTAGGTAGTTTTATAATAAATATCAAAACACAATTCGTATCACTTTTCTAAGCCCATTAGTTAAGCCCATACCTGGATTATTATTATAAGTTATTCAACAGAAACCCTTGTTGGAAACCATTTGCAGTATAGCCGCTCATCTTCGTTTCTCACAGGATCCCGTGAAGCCGCTCCAAAATGGTTCGTTCGTTTTCACAGCTTGTTGAATTTTAAAATGTTATTCTAATTTCATTCTTATGTGATTATTGTTTGTGATTTTGGTTACAGACTAAGAGAACCAAGAAGGGTGGTATTGTTGGCAAATACGGTACGTTCTATCAATTTTCTTACTTTTCAATATTTTGTCTTGTCTGTTGTGCTTTTCGGTTTCAGATTTGTTTGTTTTGTAGATATTTATTTTATTTCAATTCACTATAAATGTGTTTGTTCTAACCCTAAAAACTTTGTGGGTTTTTTAATTTCAATTAGGTTTAGCTTAGATTTATTTGCTTCTAATTTAAATGAAATTCTCAGCTAAGATGAGTTTATGGTTTTTGTGTCGTAAATGGTGATAACTGATAGGTTTGTGTTCTAATTTCAGGCACCCGATATGGTGCTAGTTTGAGGAAGCAAATTAAGAAGATGGAAGTCAGTCAGCACAGTAAATTCTTCTGCGAGTTTTGTGGAAAGGTAGTTTTTTTTAAGGTGTTTTGTGACGAGTTTTTTCGATCTGCATAGGTTGATTATGTTCTCAATTTGTTGTATGTAGTATGCTGTTAAGAGAAAGGCTGTTGGTATTTGTGGGCTGCAAAGATTGTGGGAAGGTCAAGGCTGGTGGTGCTTACACTTTGAAGTAAGAATCTTGCTCAAAAAACATGTTTTCTCAATTGATTAATTGCTTGTATATAGTTGCTAACCTTGTGATTTTTTTGTGCTTATTATTTTGACAGTATTGCCAGTGCTGTGACTGTTCGGAGTACCATCTGAAGGTTGAGGGAGCAGACTGAGAGTTAGAAAGGAAGCAGTATTACAATTTTGTTATTTTTTATTTTCAAAGTTATTGTAGAAACTCTTGTACGTCCTTAATTAGTGTTATATTTGATTTGGATATTTGAGGAAGGTTTTGTAAGTGTATCAGTTATCTTTAGATTATTGAGTACTATTTAGTTTGAGCCACATCTTCTTGATATTGTTATGCGGTTTATCAAAGAAATCCTTCAATTGAATCAAATAGAGATTCCAGTCACGATATGGATTTATAACTCAAGATTTGGTTTATATAAATAATATGCTGCAAACAATGCAGGTATATGAATTATATAAATTATACCTCTAAAAAAAACACCCTATAAAAGCGCTTTTTCAAGAAAAACGCTGCCTTAGGTAACCTATGAAAGCGCTTTTTCACAAAAAACGTTGTCTAAGATAAACATATGACAGCACTTTTCCAGGAAAAAGCGCTGCTAAAAGACCACCTATGAAAGCGCTTTTCCAGAAAAAAGCGTTGATAAAAGCCTACCTAAGACAGCGCTTTTCCAAAAAAAAGCGCTGCTAAAAGAAAACTTATGAGAGCGTTTTTCATTAAACAAAAAGCGCTGCTAAAACCTATAGCAGTGCCACCTACGAAAGCGCTTTTAAAGGCCAAAAAAGCGCTTTCGTAAGTCTTTTTTGGCGTAGTGAATGCAAACTATCCAGCAACGCTACCAATTCTGAAAGTTAACAACTATGAGAATTGGTGCAAACAGATGAAAGTCTTATTCAGGTGTCAAGATCTTTGGGACCTTGTAAAAGATAAAGTCGAATCGCTTGGAGAAAACGCTTCAGAAGAAGAAAAGAAGAAATACACAGAATCTGAGAAGCTGAGTTATAAAGCATTATTTATAATTCATCAATGTGTCATCCCAGACAATTTCGAAAAGGTTAGTGATTCCGAATCTGCAAAAGAAGCTTCGGAGATTCTTGAGAAGTCTTTTGGAGGCGCTGAGAAGGTGAAAGAAGTGAGGTTACAAACTCACAAAAGGACATATGAATTGCTTCAGATGGAAGACAGTGAAAGCATATCTGATTTCTTCACCAGAGTTACAAAACTAGTAAATCAAATCAAGATATGTGGAGAAGCGTTAACAACAAGAGCTGTTGTTTCGAAGATCTTGAGATCTTTAGCTCCTAAGTTCGACCACATAGTGGTGGCGATAGAAGAGGGGAAAGACTTGTCGAAATTGACAAAGGAAGAGCTTCAAGGGACGCTTGAATCTCATGAACAAAGAATGAATGAAAGAGCTGCAGGCAAATCGAAGAGTAATGTGGCCTTGCAAGTACATTCAGCAAAAGAAACCAAAGGCAAAGGAAAGTGTTTCGGCAGAGGTAGATGTGGCTACAACAAATCGAATGATAGAGGAAACCAGATCGAAGAAAACGTCTCGAATCAAAGAAGGCCATACCAAGACAACCAAAGAGGTGGTGTTGCAAATAGAGGAAGAGGTGGTGGTCGAAAACCTGATAAGAGTCATATTCAATTTTACAATTGTCAAAAGTATGGACACTATGTGAGTGATTGTCCAGAAAAACGAAAGAATCAAGAAAGTGATGCAAAGCTTGCAAAACACGAAGAAGAAGAGATGATGCTGATGGTCACAACAAGAGATGAAGATAGATTCAAGGACCAATGATACTTGGACTCAGGATGCTCATCACATATGTCTGGAAGGAAAGACTGGTTTGTCAATATAAAGCCCTCAATAAAAAATATGGTAAAATTTGCAAATGACAATATCCTAGTAGCTGAAGGTATTGGTGATGTTATGATTATGAGGAAAGATGGCAAGAGGTCAATAATTTCCAATGTATTGTACATACCAGGCATGAAGAGCAATTTGCTCAGTACAAGGCATTTGGTAGAAAAGAATTATAAAGTGTCAATCGAAGATAAGATGATGAGAGTCATTGATGCAAATGGGAGATTAATCTTGAAGGCTCCTATGTCTCAGAATCGAACCTTCGAGATTGAACTAAATGTGATGGAGCACAAGTGCCTTTCGACTGCAGCTAGCAGAGATGAATGGATATGGCATTATAGACTAGGCCATCTTAACTTCAGAGACATCATAGATTTGAAGAGAAGAAATATGGTCTCAGGATTGCCAGAAATCGACATTCCAAACGAGGTATGTGAGGAATCTGTGCAGGCGAAGCAATACAAGAATATCTTCAGCAAGGATGCAGGAAGCAGGTTGAAGGCTAGTCTTGAAGTCATATACTTTGATGTATGTGGACCAATCCAGGTGGATTTAATGGGAGGTAACAAATACTTTATTACATTCATAGATGATTTCAGTCGAAAGCTGTTGACTTATCTGATCAAGAAAAAAAGTGAAAGGATTGAAGTATTTGCCAAGTTTAAGTCTATGGTCGAAAGACAAAGTGGTCGAAAGCTAAAAGGTTTGAGAAATGATGGTGGTGGAGAATATGTGTCGAAAGACTTCGACGGGCTATGTGAAAAGGAAGGGATTATGCATGAGGTGGTGCCACCCTATACTCCACAACAAAATGGAATTGCAGAAAGGAAGAATCGAACCATCATGAATATGGTGAGAAGTATGTTGAAAGACAAGAATTTACCTAAAGAGTTTTGGGGTGAAGCTGTTTCGACCACAAAATACATTTTGAACAGATGTCCTACAAAGAAGCTAGAAGGAATTACTCCAGAAGAATGTTGGTCTGGTGTGAAGCCTGGCTTGAGTCATCTGAAGGTATTTGGATCTATTTCACATAGACATGTGTCATATCAGTTGAGAAGAAAACTTGATGACAAGTCAAGTCAAATGATTCTAGTTGGATATCATTCGACAGGAGGCTACAAGTTATTTGATCTAGTGAAAAAGCAGATTGTGATCAGCAAGGACGTGATCATAAATGAGTTTAAAGAATGAGATTGGACTGAAAATGTCAAGAAAGATTCAGTGGTAATCCTATTCGAAGAACCAGAAACTCAAGTCGAAAGAGAAGTTCGACAAGAGGAACCAACAGATATATCAAGTACAAGCAGACCTCAAAGAATAAGGCGCATGCCTGCAAGATTGCAAGACCGTGTGATTACATCAGATGATGTAATAGATAATGAAGGTAAGCTGGTACGTTATGCTTTCTATACAGATGTCGAACCTGTTAATGCAGCTGAAGCATTAAAGCATTCGAAGTGGGTGAAAGTAATGAATGAAGAAGTGAAGTCCATCGAAGACAACAACACTTGGTCACTTGTCGAATTGTCTCAAGGCAAGAAGATAATTGATGTCAAGTGGGTATACAAAGTGAAAACGAATTCTAAAGATGAAGTAACTCGACACAAAGCAAGGCTCGTGGCGAAAGGATTTCTACAGAAAGAAGGAGTAGACTCCGATGAAGTTTTTTCACCTGTTGCTAGGATAGAAACAATCAGGTTAGTTGTTGGTCTAGCAGAAATAAATAGTTGGCACATATGTCAGATGGACGTGAAGTGTGCATTCCTAAATGGACCCTTAGATGAAGAAGTCTATGTTAAACAACCAGTTGGGTTTGTGAAATACGACGAAGAAAGAAAGGTATACAGGCTGCATAAAGCCCTGTATGGATTGAAACAAGCTCCAAGAGCTTGGAATAAGAAAATTGATAGTTTCCTAAGGGAGAAGGAATTTGTGAAGTGCACAATTGAACATAGAGTATATGTAAGAAGAAGCAATAGTAAATTGCTTATACTATGTCTCCATGTAAATGATTTGTTGATAACAGATAACTGTAAAAGTGAGATCGAAGACTTCAAAGGTGATCTCAACAAGGAATTCGAAATGTCTGATTTGGGTGAGATTTCATATTTCCTTGGTATCGAATTCTACAAGAGCAGTAGAGGTTTGATGATGCATCAAAGAAGATATGCAGGAGAAATTCTCAAGAGGTTTGAGATGGAAGAATGCAACTCAACTTCGACACTTGCAGAACCAAGACTGCAACTATCGAAAGATGCAGATGAAGATGATGTTGATCCAACCCAATACAGAAGACTTATTGAATAATTAAGATATATTTGTTATACAAGGCCTGACTTAGCATATATTGTAGGTATGGTAATTAGATTCATGCAGAAGCCAAAGGTATCACATCTAACAGCAGTAAAAAGGATACTGAGGTATCTCAAAGGAACTTTCGATTATGACATTTTGTTTCCTGCAGGTGATAAAGAAAAAGAATGCAAGTTAGTGGGATACACTTATTCGAGTTGGTGTAGTGATGCTGAAGATCGAAAATCAACAGCAGGATATGTGTTTATGCTAGGTGGTGCACCAGTTGCTTGGAATTCAAGAAAGTAACCAGTAATGACATTATCATCATGTGAAGCAGAATACATAACTGCTTCTCTTTGTGCATGTCAAGCAACTTGGATGGTGAACTTGGTCGAAGAGATAACAGAGAAAGATCATGGAGCAATTATCATAAAGATAGACAACATATCGGCTATTAATCTGGCGAAGAATCCAATAGCACATGGTCGAAGTAAGCACATCGAAATGAGGTTCTATTATCTTCGAGAGCAGGTAGCAGATGGGAAGATGAATTTGGAACACTGCAGAACTGAGAATCAGATTGCAGACATCATGACGAAGGGAGTGCAAGTCAAAGTATTCAGAAGACTAAGAGCCATGATGAACATAGATAGTTTAGACACAATGAATTAGGTGGTGTGTTAAATTGTAATTCAGTGTGTCGAAACTATGTGTCGAAAAGATTTGATTTATTTTAAGATTTAAATAGATTTGATTTAAGTCTAGAATAGATTAGATTTGATTTAGTAACAAAATAGATATTTTGGGCTTTGGGCTTAGGGTGTAAGCTCAGTTATAAATAGAGGGAGTAACCCTTATTTTTGTAAGCAAGTCAAACAAGTCATTCACAGTATTTTGCAGTTGCAAAGTGAATAAGAAAGTTTTCACAGTTTGTGAGCAGAGAGAAACTCTGTAGAAATTATTTGTCTTGTCTT